ACACACACACACACATCCTGCATCAGCTGCAGGACACCACACACACACACACACACACACACACACACACATCCTGCATCAGCTGCAGGACCCCACTGCTGCCCTTCTACAGCAATGCCCAGAGAGAAACTGGCACAGAGAGTGTTCTGCAGAAGTTACACCTTTCTTTTGGGTTCCCAGAAGAAGCCAAGGATGGAAAAGCATCTGCCAAACTCCCAGAGAACAGATCTGGTCTGATGCAATCTCTGGTACAAGACATCCCTGAGCTGCTGGGTGGTGTGGCTGAGGGAAGGATGACTCTACACCCGATTGCACTTCCCCTCACTCATCCAGTGCCAAGAACAGGACTGTCTGCCAAACTGACACCAGCCTAAATCCATGTCCTCGTCTATTATCAGCCACCAGCAAGATCCATGAGACCCTTTCGATTAAAGGCCCTGCTCAGCTGGATTCTGATGGCTCCTGGTTTGCCACCCACCAGCCTGTTGCACCTACCTTCACTAGTCTGAGCTCATTGTGACTCTCCTGGAACTAGGCAACAAGAAAGAGGCAATCCACAATCCAGCCAGGACCAACTGAACAGGCTGCACTTATCACACTCCACTTTACCTCCCTGAGCCTCCCAGGCCCAGCACAGAGGCCTGACCTCAGGCTGTTGAACCAGAGGCAACCTGGCTTTAAAGTTCTTATTTTTTGAGCTTACTGAAGGCTAAAGCACCTCAGAAAGTGTTGGGAGATGTCACACACAAACAGCTGCTCACCCTAGACCTCCCCAAAGGAAGCAGCAGTGATCCATGTGGGGGGAGCCAAGCAAGCTCAGGTGCTGCTGCATGATCCCCCCAGGCCCCAGGGAATGGAGAGCACCAGTTTTCACTCCAAAGGAATGCTGTGATACTCACAGGACTGATGTGAGGTGTCCGTGTACACGCCTGCTCTCCTTAAACAGTGTCCTAAGAAGGGAAGAGAGCAATGAGAAGTGATATCCAGCAAGACCCAGTAGAGCAGCTGGGATCACTGGAGACAGAGCTGCACACTACAGCAGGGGACTTAGTGAAACTGAAACCACAGAGAGCAAACCAATATTCAGCCCTTTTCCAGGAAGATCATCCTGAGCTGCCCCACACAATTCTCTCTCTGGGGAGCAATGCCTGTAGGCACTGGAAAGACCATGAAGGCAGTGGTTGGACAATGCCTAAGGAAAAAGCTCTACCAGCTTAAAAAGCCAACTGCAGAGGCAGGATCATCACTCGGGGCCTTCCTGCTGCCAGAGATCATCCAAGAGCTCTTCAGCTTCCAGGGAGAAAGTTCCTGTGTCTCCCACACAGCAATGAAGGAGAGAAGGGTCTGTGCTGCCTTTGTGTCCCCAGCCAAGAGCTGAGGTGACTCTGTACATCACAACCCTTTCTGGAAGGACTGACTGAGCAGAGGAATAGACTGAGCTTCATCCAAAGCCCTGCACTACTGAGGGTAAAACAGCCTCCCACAAACACTCTCTGACCCAAACCAGCTGCCTCTCAGCTGCCCTCTTACATGTCAGGGAGGAGTTATAAACATCCCTTGAGTACTGGCACGTGGAATGTGATTCCTGGATGGACAAAACAGATTTTTGTCATCATTTGCCTCTTAAAAAGCAAGCTTATGTTAACCTAACATTCTGTTAATCATCTCTTAGTGTTAATGGAGGAAACAGACTCATGGCAGGGCCTGTCTAATTCATCCATGAAATTGCTGCTCTGTCCACCTTCAGGTTCCTCTTACAGATGAACTTCTAAGATCATGATGACAATGAATCAAGCTGACTTATCCATAAAATTGTTACAGTTTTTCTAGAGACACCAATTCCCTCCCCTTGGCTGTCACTCTACCCTGCATCTTTAAAGCACCAAGTGAGACAATATCTTGAGTCGGATGGGATCCAGAAAGATCAAGCCCAACTCCAAGTTCCAGCAGGAGAAACCATTGTCCTTGAGCCATTGGAAAGCAACCAGGAAATTCACTTTCATTGAGGCATTACTTATTGTACTTAATTCCACGGGAAGTGCCTTCAATACTTGGGTGAACATCTGAGTGCCCAACAACAGTTTCACCATCAAACTTCAAGATTTTAATTTCCTTTTTGTCAAAGAAAAGATTTTAAAACTTGGCCAGCTGAGCCCCTCAGGCTGGGTATATCTTTATTAACCAAGCAGGAATGTTTCCTCCACCTCCTAATGCCATCTTTCAGCTCCTGCACCACCACACTACAACCATGCTCAGCACTGAGCTTCCTGTGCACATGCAACTGCAACAGACAGCCATGGACTTTTCCAAGTGGATCTGTGATGTGCCACTCATACTTATTGCTCTTAGGAACTGCTACCTACCTCTTCCTTTATCCCCCAACACCCAGAAAGCAAATTCAGCAGAGAAGACAGCACTGCCCAGCTCGTGGAATGCAAAGAGACAGATCAAGGAACAGCCTGGGTTGGAAGGAACCTGAAAGACTCCAGAAGTAAGACTGCAGAGTTGTCCTTTCTTTAAAAGTACTGAGCAAAACAAAGCAGGCCAGAGGGTGATGACAGTCCCAGCAGAGGAACTCTGCCATTTGTGTGGCTCTCTGCTGCTGCCAGCTCAAGGGCAGGGATGATGGAGAGTGGGAAAGAGCAGGAAACAGCAGTGAGGGTACAGAAACCACACCAAATTCTACTGACTCTAATAAGCCCCTAAAACTTTTCTACTTGGCCTTCTCCTGGGGATACTCCAGAGAAGACTTCCCAAAGTGTCTGAAAAATGTATCTTTTGTGATTATAAAGTGATCTTTTGTAATACAGAGCCAAGAAAGCACAGACTGGCCTGTGGGCCTGACCTCAGTGCCAGTTCTACCTGCCAGTGGCACCTGTGTGACAGCAACACAGTACCAAGGCTACTCAGCACTGCCATTCACAGTCCTGGCTGCACTCAGGAATTTGTGAAAAGGGACAGAGGGAGGGGGGAGAATATGCTGGAGGGCAGGGCTGCCATTCACAGGGCCCTTCCCAGGCTGGAGAAAGGGACCAACACAAACCTTGTGAAGCTCAGTGAAATCCAGCACCAAGTCCTGCAGCTGGGATAAAGGACTGGGCAGCAGCCCTGCAGGAAAGGGCCTGGGGGTCCTGGGGGTCAAGCTGAAGGGAAGCCACTGCTGCAGAGGTATCCTTTGAGAGCAAACTATCCCCTGCTCAGCACCTGGGAGGACACATCTGGACACAGATCCAGTTTCAGGACCCCCACAATACAAGAGAGATGCCAACAATCTGGACACATCCTCAGGAACAGGGACACATGACAGCCAAGGAGAGGTGGAGGGAACTGGGTTTGCTCAGCCTGGAAAGGGAGAAGACCCAGGAGGAGTCTAATGGCAGTTTTCCACCACGTAAAGAGTGGTGAGGACAGGAACAAGATGGAGCCAGACCTTTCTCAAAGGTGCACAGTAAAAAACAAAAGCAGGGAATATTCAGTTCAGTGGAGCAAGGAGAATTCTTGTTGGAAATAAGGAGAAAAGATTTCATGAAGAGTGATCAAGTACCAGAACAGGAGCCCAGAGATGCTGTGGTAATCTTCATCCTTAGGAATTTCCAAAATTCCACATGCCAAAGCCCTGAGCACTCTGATCTAACTCTGAAGCCAGCCATTCCCTGAGCAAGGGCAGGACTAATGACCTTCCCAGGTCCCTTGGGACAAGGAATTCCTTGAGTCTTGCTCACCTGGCCTGCATCCAGCCTTTTGGCCAAAGGGGCTTCACCTCTCCTTCTAGGAAGGTCTTCACATAATCCTCTAGAGACTGAGCCTTATTCTTGTCAAGGTCATAACCATCCAACTTAATCTTCACCAAGTGGCAAAGCAGCTCCCTGAGGAACAGGAAGATTTTAGATACAGTTATGCAGATTGACCTTTCCCATTTGGAGATCATTCTCTTTATCCAGGCTGGATAAATACACCAAGACAGATCTGGCTCTTGCTAATACAACCCTGCACTGCCTCTTCAGGAAAGGGGAAGGGAAAGGCACATTCCTTGCTTTGTGTGTGCACACACATGGATGCATCAGGGAGAAAAGTCTTGTTAGCCCTTCCCAGTGAAATCTCCTGAAACAGCTGAGGTAGCAAACCAGTGCCAGAGCCACAGGCACCAGTAACAACCACAGAACTGAACCTCTCAGCAAGGAGAAGTCAGGAAGCAAAGCTGGCTATGTCCTACATGGATCAGCAGCACAAACAAATCAGTTTGTTCCAGAATAAGAAGAAAAAGACAGCAGGACTGATTTTCCTTTTAACCTTTGTCACTCTTCCCTGTTCTCAGCACTCCCCTCTCTGTCAGCCCCCCGAGTGCCACGGGCAGCAAAACCCAACAGCTTCAACTGCTTCCACAACAGAACCTGGGCATGTCAAGAGGCTGGGCTCTAGGATGTCAGCAATTCAGCTGAATCCCTTCTGTTCCCAAAGACCTGACTCTCTCTTTTGAACTCTGCACAGAGGCTTCTCAGCACTTCTCTCAGGGCTAGCCTGGGCCTGAAATCAAGTTTCAAGTGAGATGTAATAAATGCAGTAGTGGCTTCCATACACAGCACCATGTGCCACAAACCTCCAAGCTGACTGTTCCTACAGGAGATCAGCACTGCTCTGTAAACAAGACACAGACACCAAAATGCTTCACTGCCAACTGCAAAGAGTAAGACAGGTCATGAGTCTGCTTAATATCTGAGTTATTCAAACCTGATTTCATCATTCCACTGGAATTTCTTCCGTGGGCCTGCAAGGCGCTTCCCTCCCTTGTCTTCATCCTCATCATCATCAGAACAAACTCGCTGTTCTTTGTCTTTTTCCTCTTCCAGCATCCTAAAATGAAGACAGGAAATGTGAAAGTTATCATCCTGCAGGTTCAAGGGGAGGATTAAGTATCTCTGAATGGCACTGGACAGAGGTCTCAATATCAGCAACCTCTGGCTTAGGGTGCAAGCTGAGCTATGGGCTCAAGGTTAAGAAACCTCCCAATATTTTGTAATAGAGATGATGGAATTAATCCAACCTGACTGTTCCCAGGCTGCCATGTTCCTAAGAACACGCCTGCACACACAAAACCCTTCAGCCAAGCTCTGGTCCCATCAGTGCTGCTGCAGCTGGCATCACCACAGACAGCACAAAGAACACACACAGCTTAATTAGGCCAATCAATTCCCATCAGCAAATTTAGCCTATGGAACAAAAAGAGGTGGCAAACTTTGAGAGCAGCCTCCAGACCACAGAGAGTCTGCTGGGAAAAGCTACAGATGAGGAATGAGCAACCAAGGAGCTTACTTGGCAAACTTGGCCTGAGTATGGGCTTGGCATTCCTCCTGGTACTTGGCCACCTGCTCTGGCATGGCCCTTCCAATGGCTTCCTTCAGCTTCTGCAGAGGCTCCTTCAATCGGCCACCCTGCAGTGAGACAGAACAACCTGAAGCTCCACATGGCTGGGACACCACAATCCCCATGGAGGACACAGCCTGTATGGGGACAACAGCCACGCTGTGCCCAGCAGGGCTAGCACACACAGGCCTGTGCTGGCCACTTGCCTCACCTGCTCGTAGAGGTAGAGCCTGCGGGCTCGCTTCAGCAGCGTGTCCTTGCTGCAGGGGAAGAAGGCGGCCAGGTGAGCGTAGACCCCCGAGCGCACCTGGCTGCTCAGCTCCCGAGTCTGCAGCTCGATGCTGCAGGGAAAACACAGCGTTAGCACGGACCCCTGAGAGCCAGGGCCACCCTGAGAGCCAGGGCCACCCTGAGGGGAGCTGTGGGCAGGGACAGAGCAACAAAGGACAAGGCAAAATCTGTGTGAAGGTTTTTTGGATTCTAGAATCAACAGATTTTATCCCAAGCTATGCTTTGAATTTGGTTTGGGAGTAGCTGGAGAAGGAAGAAATGCAAGTCAGCAATCTCATCTGTTCTGCAGCTCTCCCTGGCAGCTGCATGCAGGAGGGTAAGGCAATGGTTATGTCAGATGCTGTAGCAGTGGAATTCAGGACAATAAAAAAATCAAACTTTATCCCTTGGGTTTCAACTTCCAAGTGAGTAGATGAGAGATCAGTGTGTGCCAAACACATCTACATACTTAAACAGAAATTAGGAGCCTGGATTTTTAAAGTGTAAAAAACGCCAAGTGATTCATCATCACCATCATCAAAGTCACAGAATACTTTGAATTGGAAGAACCTTAAATACCATCCCATCCCACTCCTGCCATGGCAGGGACACCTCCCACTATCCCAGGCTGCTCCAAGCCCTGTCCAGCCTGGCCTTGGACACTGCCAGGGATCCAGGGACAGCCACAGCTTCTCTGGGCACCCTGTGCCAGGGCCTGCCCACCCTCCCAGGGAACAATTCCTTCCCAATATCCCATCCAGCCCTGCCCTCTGGCAGTGGGAAGCCATTCCTTGTGTCCTGTCCCTCCATCTCTTGACCCCAATCCCTCTGCAGCTCTCCTGGAGCCCCTTTAGGCCCTGGAAGGGGCTTTGAGGTGTCCCTGGAGCCTTCTCTTCTCCAGGTGAACATTCCCAGATCTCCCAGCCTGGCTCCAGAGCAGAGGGGCTCCATCCTTGGAGCATCTCCGTGGCCTCCCCTGGACTCTCTCCTGTAGCTCCATGTTCTGCTGTTGTTGGGCCTCAGATCTGGAGGCAGCTCTGCAGGTGAGGTCTCACCTGAGGGGGCAGAATCCCCCCCTTCCCTTCTCCCCATTCTGGGGGTTTTGGGTGCACACAGAGGGGAGCATGTCCAGCCTCTCACCCACTGACACCCCACATCCTTCTCCCAGGGCTGCTCACAGTGAGTTCTTCTCCCAGTCTATATCCACCTCTGGGGTTGCCCTCATACAAATCGTACAGCAAAATTCTAATAATCTGTCTAAATCTCCTCTGAACGAGTTTGAAGTGATCAGTTTGACACCAGACAAGGACTGTTTGTGCAGCCAGCACTGGAATGCTGGAAGGTGGTAATCAGCCCTGGAAATGAGAGGGAAACAGAGTCCCAAACCTCCCCTTGGCAGTTCCCTGCAAGTGCCTGGATAAACCTTAATGAAATTAAAGCCTGGGTGTCAGTATTATTGCACTGATCACAAAGCCCTGTGCATTCATCAGCCCTCTCCAGGCTCTGGCAGAAGAATGAAGCCATTATCTGCAGCTGCCTGAGCAACACTGGCACTCTGTAATTTGGGGCCTCAAAACACAGAGCAGGAATGGAATTCCTCCAGTTTTCCCAGAGAACCAGTTGAACACAGCAGCCTTATCCCAGTTATAAACAATTCTACATAACATGTAAGTTAAGTAGCAAAAACATGCCTGACATCTCTCACAGGGAGAGATTTACTGGTATCAAGCTAAACTCAGGTCAAGTGACCAAATTTAGGCACATAAATATCAGGCAGCATCTTGAGAACAGGAGGCCTGGATATATCCCCTCCAACACTCTCTTACCTCATCATATTTCAAATGAAAACCATTTCTAGAAAACTTCCATGTTATTCTGGGCATGTTCTGCCTGGAAGACCTGTACAACTCCACAATTCCTGCTGAACCTGCTCCTGAATTTATCAAAAATGCTCTGCCTAATGATCTCCTTTCCCACACCTCTCTGCTGGCAGCACTTACTCCAGTATGATGTTGTTGATGTCCTGAGTGAAGAATCTCTGCTTGCCTTCTCCCTCGGCAGCTCTGGCAGCCTGGAAGTCAGGAAATAACACAAACCATCAGCAGTTCACAGCTGGCACAAGCAACCAAGAGCCTTCAAAACCACCAGAGAACTACTGCAAAACAAGGCACAGTTTTATTACACAAACTCTGTCACAGCAGAAGTGAGGTGGTGCCCTGTCCTCTCACACCTGCCCAGTTCAAGTCCAAGCCTGCCTGAGCTGGTGACTCCATGTCCTGCACACCTGCTGACCTTCCCAGTCTGGATTCTCCTCTCCAGATGCACTGCAGTTACCACCCTGGAGTGGAGATTCCTCTGCTTTGTGGGACAGAAGAGGTGGCTTGGTGGCTTCTTTGGCAAACTTGCCATGGGGATAGCAACAGCTTCAGGGCAGGGTTTTAACTTCTCTAAGCTAAGACTAAGGAATACGAACACAGAGCTTGTCCCTGGACCGGAAAGCTCATCCTAATCACATCTGAGGAAGGCTGAGGAGACATGACAAAGTTTTCCAGATCAATCTGGAAACTAAGCCAAGACTCCAACAGAGAAGAGTCACAGCCACAGGGGATGTGTTACTCCCAGTCAACACCATGGAAACAAAAAAAAAAAAAGCTCCTGTTCAGGAATCTTCCTGAGCTATGACTGCAGCTCACAAAGTGCTGCCCAAAAACATCACACCCATGAAAAATATGTCCAGCAGGAAAATAATTCCAAGAGATCAATGAGATAGTAGTAAATTGCCAAGAGCTTTCAGTTTTTTTGAGTGGGGATATAAACAAAACTGGGAATTGGCACAAGACACCACAATGAGTTAGTGATTCCTTGCTCTGGAAAGGAGACCAGGAGAGGATTTTGAAATCCCATGATTTACCACTCCAAAGTTGAGGCAGGCAAGCAATTAATTTATACCCAGAGGGTGAACATTCCTCCCTGCCAGCAGCAGATGATATCAAAGGAGAAGGCTCAATGCTAAGGAGAATCCTCAACAGGAAAAGTACTTAGGAAGGAGAGAGTTAAAGTCAAATCTGTTCAAGTAGGAGAGGAAATGCCTGGAGGCTCCATTTAACTCAGGAGATGCTCCCACCTCTAGGATGAAGAGATTCGGCTCTCAGCACCTCTTAATTCCCACCTGAGTTCATGTCCCAAAGTCCCAGCTGAGCCACAGGTTTCAGCTTGTTTCTTTTCTTAACATCCACAATCCAGCAACAAGAGACACAAGAGCAAGAAAATCTAAGCAGGAAAATCAGTGGGGACTCTGCTATTAAACTGTTTCACAACAGCAGAACAATTAACCTGATACTGTGGAACTTGCAAAATATTCTCCTTTAACTCAGACAGAGTCAGAAATATCTATTTTGGTGCTTTCTGAAACAGGAACATCCACCAAGAGCCCATTATTTTTATCAGCTGTGGCAATTCTTGCTTCAGTTCCTCCTCCCCTCCCATCTGCTCTCCCCCACTGCACAACTCAGCAGAACAGTTCTCTAAGAGCAGCTTATCTTCAGTAACAGGAGTTACTCAGCATCTTTCACTTAAGTAAGAGGTGCTCTAAACTGAAGTGCCCTAGGAGGCAGAACCACCACAGAGCTCCAAGGGCATGTTTATGACTTAAAATCAATGTTTAAAACCACACCAGCAGCAGGAACAAAACCTCCCAGCACTTGTTGACAGGCTGATGGTGACAGCCCTCACACCATAAGGCTGAAAGCACATTTTGACATGCCAGGAAGGGATCCCTCACCAGCACTCAATGTTTTCTTTCTCCAAAACAGGCTGGAGTTTCCCAGAGCACACCACATTTTGGAGAAGATGGGTGAGTCCCCCAAGAGTCCAGCTGTAGGAGAAACACAAAGGATCTTCCTTCCAGACATTAATATATTCCACTCCCTACATGGTATCCCAACAATGAGATGCTAAAAATGACAAAAGGAATCAAACTGCCAAATTGCTGCAGTTCCAGTGGTACCCAAGCTTCAGCTCCTTAAAAGATCTGCCTGTGACACGGAAATGGTTCTAGCAAATCCTCAAGCCCCACCTACAGGGCTTTCCAGGCCTTCTCCCAGTGCAGAACAGTGGCAATGCTTTCCAGCTGCACCCTTACTTTACACACAGAGCACTGTGCAACCCTTCACTGTCCTGACCAGCACAGCACATTAAAAATATTATGGTGGAATTTGTCCTTGTCATGGTTTAACCCCAGCCTGCAACTCGGCCCCACACAGTTGCTTGCTCCTCCATCCAAGCGAGATGGGGCAGGAAATCACAAGGGTAAAAGTGAGAAAACTCATGGCCTGAGTTAGGCAGTGTAACAGGGAAAGCAAAAGCCATCCAAGCAAAACAAGGAATTCATTCCCCACTTCCCATGGACAGACAGGTGTTCAGCCATCCCCAGGACAGCAGGGTTCCATCACATGTAACATGTTGTTCCTTGGGAAAACAAACGTCATCACTCCAAACATCTCCTTCTTCCTTCTTCTTCCCCCAGCTTTATATTCCGAGCTTGGTCTGGGATATCCCTGTTGGGATCAGCTGTCCTGGCTGTGTGCCCTCCCAGCTCCTCGTGTCCCCAGGCCCCACACTGGCAGTGTGGGGTGAGGAGCAGCAAAGGCCTTGGCACTGGCTGAGCCCTCCCTGCTCAGCAATAACAAAAACATCCCTGGGTTATCAGCTCTCCTTACAGCACAATTCAAAACAGCCCCAAAACAGCCACTGTGGGGAAAATTACCTCTATCCCAGCTCAAACCAGCCCTCCAGCCTCAGTAATCCACATTCCAGATCATTCATGTCAAACTGACTTTGGAAATTCTTTCTTGCATCAGGTGCATACTTTGACAAGAGGGGTAAAGAAGGAATCCTGATCAGGTGTGATCTCTAATGTTACATTCAGTAGCCAATATGGTTGAGCACTTGGACATTCTTGACATCTGGGCCTTCAAGAAAATGACTTAGAGAAAACCAGGTGACACAAAGGTGTGATCCCAGTGGATTTGAGAAACTCCCCCACTGGAATGTGCTCTGTCCCTGGGTGCTACCACCCACACCCAGCACAGCTGTACCCCTCCAGTACCCAGCAGCCCCACTGCCCCCAGGAGCTGCTGTACCTGAGCCAGTTCCTTGATCCGTTTCTCCAGGGGGGCTGGCAGCCCTTCTGGGAGGGATGGGGGCTGCTTGAATTCCTGCTCCAAGCCTGTGCCACCAGGGTCACTGCCATCCTCCACCTCGGGGCAGGGACTGCCCTCTGGGGACTCGCTCAGGAGCCTCTCCAGGTCCAGCTCACTCAGAGAGTCCATGGCTGTGGCTGCCTGGAGCAGGTCACTGTCACTGGCGTGGCCAAAGAGCGAGAGCAGAGGGTCGGCCATGGCCTCTGCCTCCCTTGGGGCTGCAGGGTCTGCTGGGCAAGGAGTCACCACTTTCTGCTCTTCATCTTTTTTCTTCTGAGCATCCTTCTCCTTCTGAAACTTCTTCAGCATCTCCTTGACACTGAGAGCTCCAGAGTATTTCTTCTTCTTCTTCTCTTTACTTGCATTTAATGCTGTGAAGCTGCAAGCAAAGCCAAAAGAAAAGGGAACTGAATACAAGATCAAGGAGCAGAGGGGGTCCCTTTCCTCCCAGTTCACTTCATGCACAATTCCCTGGAAAGTCTTAGCCCATCAAACAATTACACCAGAAAAAGTATTTTACAGCTCCTAAAAGTCTTAATGTTCTGGCTGCTCATCTCAGCTCAGAGAAGGCTGTCCTGACTCATTGCAGAGAGGTGCTGAGGCTTAAACCACCTCCACAGAGCTCTGCTTCCATTTAGCAACATGATATTATTGTTATTCCAGCAAGGATGGTTGGGAAATGCACTATTAGTACACAGGAACTGAGGCAGGACAGAGTTAGTATGAAGCTTTCTGCTGTGTTAAAACCAGAAGAGCAAATTCCTTTCCTTGCTCACTTTGAAGGAATCATACACTCATGATACCACATCAGACACATGGGTTGCTGTTGCCCAAAAGCAGATCCATGCAGGAAAAGATGAATTACAAAGAATAGTTAAAGGAAGAAGGAAAAAACTTAGAAAATGAGTGAAAAGCAACAGATACAGATACTGAAAGAGAAAGGCAAGGCAGACCAAAGCAAGGGCAGAGCTATAGCACAAGATGACTCAGAACAGAAAGAAAAACCAGTCCATTTTACAGCCCAAAAGCTATAAAAGAGCTGAGCACTCATCCAAGAAATACTTTGGGCAGGAGTACAAAGGACTACCCAGAGAGAGCAGTAACACAGCCTCCCTTGTAACGTCTCCCTCCCTGCCAGCTCGACTCGTACAGCCTCGACCCAAGCCCTTCCCACCTGCCTTTCCTCCCACAGCTCCATCCCATATCTTTATCTTTCTCTCTACTCTCCATATCTGTTCACACTTCAGTGCCTATAAAAACACCACTCCTGCAGCCAGCTGTGCCCTCTGCTCACACACTGCTGCTGTGGAGCTGTGCTCCTTCCCTCATCATCCCTTGCCTTTCTTTCCCACTTTGGAAGCAACAGGGCTTTTCCTGCTGGTGTTTGCAATGTGCATTTGAGTCATCCCACACTGCAAGAGGTTCCTACTGCAGCCACTTAAATCCCTGAAACAAGGTGCTGAGCAGCAAAAATTCCTTCCTCCCCTCCTTACCCAGCTTTTGGAAACTTGGACTTCTTCGATTTCTTTTCCTTGTCATAAGAATCATCCTTCTTCTTCTTTTTTATTTTTTCACTCCCATCTTTCAACTTCCGCTTCTGCAGAGGGTTAAAAATGAGTCACAATCAAAGAGTTTTCCACATTACCAGCACTCCCAGAGCCACTCTGGGACCTCTCCCAAGAACGTGAAAACACAGAACTCATTAATCCAACCCCCCTACATCCTTCACCACGGTTCTGGTACATGTTGCCTTCAGCATTTGATAGCATCCCCATAATGCTGTGACTTCCAGGGTGACGGGGAGCTGCTGTCACCTCTGCTCTAGGAACCAGGTAACCCCACCAGAGTCTTATCCATGCCAGACACGCTTCATTTTACTGAGAAATTCTAGGATACAATGAGATTTCAAGTGCTTATCCCTATTCTGTCCACACCAAGTCACAAATCTTTCCCACTCCGGACGTTAACACACGTTTATGCAGCAAGCTTTGAGCTGTAACAGAAGGAATAATTGAGAAAGCTTTCTTGCTGACCTTGGGACACTTCTTCTTCTTCTCTTTGACATAGTCATCCTCAGACTCAGAGGCCTGCCGGAACTGCAGCGTTCCTGAGTTGATGTAAAACCCTCCATACTTCGTGGTGAGAGAGGCAGGAACCAGCTCATCGTACTGGAAATAACAGAGAACAGTTCATTGGCACTGGGAGCTTGGTTTCTTCATTCCATAGCTCAGCTGCTTGGAAGATTCAGTGGGATTCATGGATTCACAAAATATACTGAGTTGGAAGGGACACATCAGGATGGAGTCCAACTCCTGGCCCTGCACAGACACCCCAACAATCCCAACCTGTGCATCCCTGAGAGCATTGTCCAAATGCTTTCTGAGCTCACAGAGGCTTGGTGCTGTGGCTACTCTCCTGAGAAAGTTATTGCAGTGCCTGACCATGCCCTAGGGGAAGAACCCTTTCCTGATATCCCACCTAAAGCTCCCTGACTCAGCTCCAGCCATTTCCTCAAGTCCTGTCCCTGGGCACGAGACTGAGGAGACTGTGCTCCCCCAAGAGCACACTGGAATGCCTACCAGCATCTCCTGCCCTGCAGATGCCCCAGGAGCTCTCATTCCCTGGCCCTGGCACCCTCCTGCCTTACTCCCAGTCCAGGTTCAGCCTCCCAGGCCACCTTTAGCCACTCTCACACCCCCAGCACTCACAGCTTCCGAGTTGTCGATGAAGGAGTCGGACTCATCATAGCCATACCCCATATCAATCAAATCCTGAATCCGGTCCTTCCTGCGCCTCTTGCCACCCTGAACAAGGAAACATGGACACTGTGATCACTTTTCTTTCCCAGTACCACAGAGATACCCTGACACAGGACACCAACACTGGCGCCAGGACAGAAAAGCTACAGCACCAAACCAGGGCTGGCTCTCATCACACTGTACTCACAGGGTGTGGTAAATCCATAGAGAAACAAAATAGTGCAGCCAAATGAAAAACTACTAGCCAGACTCCAAACTGAACTGGGTCTGCATCCCTTCAACATTCCTGCCAGGGCTCTCTTCCACAGGGCTTGCTCTTCCCTAAGTGCTCCAGTGGTACAGACTCAGTACTACAGACATCAAACACACACAGAGTGTGTCAGAGTGACCCATGGGCCAAATCTGTATCACAAAATAACACACAACTTGCTACCCCCAAGTGCCAAAGACTATAAAAACCACAGCGTGGTTTTATTGCCAACCAGAGAAATAATGCAAAAGGAAGACCAGAGAGGAACAGGTAAGACAGATCCATGCAGCAATGTCCTGAGGGCAGTGGACTCAACACAGCCCCATGCTCAGGGACTTGGCACATTCCATCCTGCCATAGCAACAAGACCTAGAAATTAATTTTTACTTAAGGAAATTCAATGTTATCAATCACAGTAAGTGATTTGCCACTCGCTTTAGTTCATGTCATTTGCTTTAATCAGACTCATCTGATTGAAGAATGAATCTGAACTATTTTTACAGCCCTGAGACAGAAAAAGAACATAAAAACCAGCACGTGGCAGCCAGGATAAAGGACTCGGGGAGAACAGGAACTCGAGAGCCAGTGAGCATTAAAAGCACTGCCTGAGAGCTGGACAGCACTGCCCAGCCCAAAGAATAACACAGTTTAAAGAAGAAACACTTACATATTTTTCTTCGAACTTCCTAGCAAGAGCCTCCACTTTATGCCTTTCCTTTTCCTCATCATTGAAGGGATCAGCCGGGTCTTTCTTCTGTAGAAACAGGGTTAAAACCATGCCAGTCAATCCAGCCACACTGCCACCAAAACCACATGCATTAAACACATCCTGACTGGAACAGCTGGGCAGAAGCTCAGATAAATCAACCTTTAGGACAGTGCTGATCAACATCCTCATCAGTGACATGGACAGTGGGATCAGGGTACCCTCAGCATGTCTGGAGAAGCCACCCAGCCGTGTGGTGTGGTTGACACACCTGAGGGATGGGAGGCCACCCAGAGGGACCTGGACAGGTTGAAGAGCTGGGACCATGGGAGTCTCACAAGGTTCAGCAAAGCCAAATGCTGGTGCTGCACCTGGAACAGACAGGATCAATCCAGGCTGGGAGATGAAGGGATTTAGAGCAGCCCTGGGGGAAGGATTTGAGGTGTTGGTGGGTGACAGCTGGACTTGCCCCAGTCATGAGCACCCAGAACCCTCCCTGTGCTGGGCTGAGCCCCAGGGTGGGCAGCAGGAGGGGGGGATTCTGCTCCTCTGCCCCCTCAGGTGAGACCTCACCTGCAGAGCTGCCCCAGCCCTGGGGCCCAGCACGGGAAGGACATGGAGCTGCTGGAGAGAGTCTGGAGGAGCCCATGGAGATGCTCCAAGGGCTGGAGCCCCTCTAGAGCCAGGCTGGGAGAGCTGGGGGTGCTCACCTGGAGAAGAGAAGGCTCCAGGGACACCTCAGAGCCCCTTCCAGGGCCTAAAGGGGCTCCAGGAGAGCTGCAGAGGGACTGAGGACAAGGGATGGAGGGACAGGACACAGGGAATGGCTTCCCACTGGCAGAGGACAGGGATAGATGGGATATTAGGAAGGAATTGTTCCCTGGGAGGGTGGGCAGGCCCTGGCACAGGGTGCCCAGAGAAGCTGTGGCTGCCCCTGGATTCCTGGGAGTGTCCAAGGCCAGGCTGGACAGGGCTGGGAGCAGCCTGGGACAGTGGAAGGTGTCCCTGGACATGGCAGGAAGTGGAATGGGATGGGCTTTAAGGTCGTTTCCAAGCCGAACTATGGTGGGATTCTGAGAGTGTCTCTGTGGTTTGGGTGCTCTCTCAGCTAGTTTTGCACCTGCCTCTGATTCTCCCAACCCACAAAAAAAAAATGCCCCAAAAATCAAGTGGCATAAAACATAACTGACTGCTAACAATCCTGAAGGCAAACAGTAAAAGGAATAGCATCCAGTAAGTTTCTTTTTAGAGACAAACACTCCTAATTGAAAGTTTAAATGCTACAGGAGTTTTCATTCATGTCTCCTTCGGTGCTTTTGGAAAACAGCTCCTTATCACTGACAGCCACCCAGGTACCAGAACTCACTTTAGATCCAGCCATTCCAAACTAAACGAGCATCACATCCCACATCTGCCACCAGCACAACACCCTCCCAACACCAAATTCCAGCCAGGGCTGGAGTGACACAGTGTGGCCTGACAACAAGAACCCCAGCCAGGGGTCAGCTCTCCTGCCTGCAGGATGTCCACTCACCCCCCTCCTACCTTGCAGCACCTCACAGCAAACACAGACCCAACCCTCAAAACAGCAATGCTGAGACAGCCTTTGAGACCTTCAGCTACAACACAGGTTCCCACAGGCCCCCAGGGACACTCACCTTGTCACCTGAAGAACTCGCTTTTACTTTCCCTCGACAGCTCTTGAGGAGATCTGGGTAGAAGAACTCCGGGCAGCGTTTGTGGTCGGGCTCGAAGAGGGTCAGGGTGATCCGCACAGCCGTGGCCGCCGGCTCCGCCTCCGGGGGCTGCTCTCCATCGTCCTTCCGAGACCTCTTCAGGAAGCTGCTGCTCAGTGGCCCGTGCAGAGTGGTGAACGAAACCCTGTGGGGCTCTGTCATGGCTATGGCCAAATCTTACCAGGCCTCACGGCATCGTTCCCATTGCATTAGGAAAGATCTGTCGGGCTGCACTGACGGATTTCACCAAGGATAACTGAGGATGTTGGCAGTAGAGTAAGTGCTTTGCTTTTGGAGGTTTCTCGGGAAGTGACAAAGGGCCGTGCTGTGAGCGCTTGCTGCAATCATTAGAGAGAAGAAAGAAAGAAGTCAGTCCTTGTACCAGTCTTCCCTCCAAGACTGGAAGCTCCCCGCTATCCCTCCAGTCCATTGCAGGTCTCTCTCCTCACACCACACAGCTCCATTTGTAAGGGATGAAGGAAATCCAGCTGCCGGGGAAACAAAACGAGCCCGCCAGACTCGCTTTGACGCGGCCCAGGAGCCCTGGGCACAAACACCGGGCTGAGGCTGCACGTCCCGGGATGAGACTGCACCTCTCAGGATGGCACAACGCCTCCCGGGCCGGGGCTGCGCTCCGGCCGCCTGAGCTCCCGCTGCACGGAGGCCTGGACACCACTGTCCCTGGGAAAGCGGCCCTAGCGGGGACTGAGCGGGTCTTGGGGACTGAGCGGGACTCGGGTCTGAGCGGGGCCCGGGGTGGCAGCGCCGCCGGAGGGAGTGCGGCCCGCGGGGCTGAGGGGAGGCCCGAGGCCGTGGTGCCGGGGCGGCGGGCCCGCCCGCCCTCACTCACCGCCGGCGGGACTCAACCGCCGCCGCCGCCGCTCCGGGCCCGCTCCGGCCCCGCGCCCGCGTCACGTGGGCGGTGCTGCCCTCGCGCTGAGCCGCGCGCGCCGCGGCCAATCAGCGACCGCCCTAACGGCCACGCCTCGCACCGCGGCCAATCAGCGTCCGCCCCAACGGCCACGCCTCGCGGGAGCGGCTCGCGGACGGCTGCCCCTGACCACGTGATCGGGGCGGACCAATCCCCGCTGCCGGCACCGCCCCGTCCCGGCGCCCCTCGCGCGGTGGCGGGAGGGGCGCCAAGATGGCGGCGGTCCCTGAGGGAGCGGCGGTGGTCCGGCGGGGTGCTCTCGGAGGGGCTGCCCGCGCCCTCTTCACTCACTGAGCAGCGTTTGGTGGAGCCTCCTAGGAATCAGTGGTGTGAAGCCTCCAGGAAGCTGCGTTCGTCGTGCCCCTCGTGAGCCTTAAACAAGCTCAGGTTTCTTCCACAGAATGAAATGCAACTTAGGGAATGTGTGTAACGATAAGGGGCAACAAAGTAATATATCTAAACAGTCCCACTTCAGGATCTGTTAAAATGCTGGAGGTTATTTAGAGAATTGCTGAAAAAAAACCCTTGAGAGACAAGGCAGTCAGTGGTCACAGCCAGTGTGGGTTCACAAGGGGAAGCTCCTGCCAAATCTGCTTCATTTGTGAGAAGCTCAGGCACTGCTTGCCTAGAGTCACAGAATGTTTCAGGCTAAAACGGACCGCAGTGGCTCATCTGGTCCCAGCTGCCTGCTCAGGCAGGGTCAGCCCAGGGCACAGTGCTGGGTCCAGACAATTGGGAAATATTTCCAGTTATAGACACTCCACTCCCTTTCTGGGCAGCCTGTTCCAGTGTACAAGAAAGTTTTTCGTCGTGCTCGTTTAGAACTTCTTGGGCTCAGTCCCTTCCCATTGTTCTGGTGCCATTGCTGGGCCCTGCTCTGCCCCTCCCTGCACACAGGGACACCCAGGGCTGAGGGCCCTTCTCAGCTGGGGCTCCTCTCCAGGCCGAACAGCCCCAGCTCCCTCAGCCTTTTCACACAAAGAGATGCTCCAGTACCTTCAGCATCATCACAGCCTCCAGCAGACCTGCTCCAGGAGCTCCATGTCCCTCCTGTCCTCACAAGACATTCCAGATGTGCCTCACAGGCTGAGCAGATGGGCAGGATCCCCTCCCTCTCACCCCCCAGGAACCCCCACCTTGGCCCCAGGGCTCGTCAGGAACAGTCAGTGTCACCCTCTTCACAGAGATGCAGCCCCAGCTCAGGCTGGTGCCTGGAGTTGTTCCTCCCCAGATGCAGGACTCTGCTCTGGCCTGTGCTGGATTCCAGAAGGTTCCTCTCTGCCCTTTCCCATTGTCAAGGTCCCTCTGAAGGGCCACACAACCTCTGAGGTATCATCCACTCCTCCCAGCCCTGCATCAGTCATCTTTGTGTTGACCAAAGGAAGACAGTAGATGTGGTGGTTAGCAAAGCTTTTAATACCATCTCTAACACTCTCTTGGATACACAGCTCTACAAGTTCCCCTTTACACGGGTGAGCAGCCAGTGCCAGGTCAAGCTGAAAGGGTCACAATAACTGGGGTCAGACCAGGACAGTCAGCAGTGGGGTTATGCAGGGCTCTATTTGAGGGCTGGGGCTCTTGAATGTTTCTATAAATGATCCAGATTCAGGAATTTAATGTACATTAGGTAGGTTTGCCAACAACAATGAACTGGAAGGGGCTGTGGAGGCCCCAAAGGGCCCTTAGAGGGCAGTCACAACCTGTGTGAAATTCAAGAGCAGCAGTGCTGGACTCTGCACCTGGGACAGGGCTGTACACACACTGTGGGGGATGAGAGGCTGGAGAGCAGCCCAGCAAACAGACCTGGGGGTTAATGGCGACTTCAACAAGAGCCATCAGTGCAGCCAAAAGAGCCAACTCTGTCCTGGGCTACAGCTCAGCTCAGCTCAGGGACTGTCCTGCTCAGCACTGGGCTGGAGCTCTGTGTTCCCACTAACGGTTCTGGAAACTATGGAGACAACAGCTCAAAAGCCATTTCCCATCCCAAAACATTTTTAACACTCTTTCATTTTCCAATACTCCGTGTTTGTGTTTGGCTGACAGCACCAGCTCAGACCTAACTCCTTGCAATGCTCTAAATGCAGGGAAATGCCCCAGGAGCAGAAACCAGGGTGTGACAGGGGGTCGGCATCCAGCCAAGAGGACGGTGCAGGGTTCCTCCAGGGTGTCCAGCAACAGGAGGAGGAACAACAGCCAGAAACTGAAACACAAGAAGTCTCCCCTCAATGTGAGGAAGAATTTCTTTACACTGAGAATGGCAAAGCACCTTGCCACTGAGGGTGGCAGGGAGGGCATTCCAAACCCACCTGGACACATTCCTGTGACAGCTGCTCCACATGACCCTGCTCTGACAGGGAACTGAATGTTCTCCAGAGGTCCTTTCCAACCCAAATTATTCTGGGATTTTGTGAGTCCTGCAGGAGCAGAGCCTGCTGGGTCTGCTGCCATGACCATGTGGTGCTGCAGCAGCAGCCTGGCTTCACTTAACCCCATCCACTGGTTTGGTGGAAAGCACAAGAGCCCTTCACAGGTGTTTTGCTTTCGAAAAAGACAGGTGTGTGCTAAGGAAGAGCAGGGCCTTCCCTCGAAATGGAGACAATAAATCCCTCCCTCTGAATTAGTATAATTTTGGAATTAAGAGGCTCTCAGGCAAAGATATGGGGAGCAGAGACAACAGGATCTCTGCTGCCTTCACCTCCTCCAGCTCTGACACACAACTGCTGCAGCCAAAACCTCCCCTCCACTCTGCCACCCAGGCTATTTGTGACAAGCACCTGCAGCCTCCTGCATTCAAGGACCCTAAGAGGAACAACAGACAGCTTCTACTTTTATTGTTACAGTTTAACACAGTCTTGGACAGAGGAGAAGCAGCAGGAACCAACATGCAAAGCAATCAGAAGTCCCCAGGGGCTCGAGGCAGACCATCCACAGCTCAGCTCCTGTACCTGCTCCCAGCAGTGCCTCTGGGGGCCCTTTCCCTGCAGCTGCTGCTCTGTCGTGCCCCAGAGCGGGACGAGGTCATGGCAGACACCAAATCTACACACACACAGAGGAGAGGACTGGCCTGGGATTGTGTCTCATGAGTCAGGTCTGTTACCTGACTGGAGTTCAGTGGGCTTTGACACTGGGAGGGCATCCATGTAGACAGGGAGAAGAAGGATCCTACAGGAACAGGCAATGGCAGGAGATGAAGCTCAGGTATTTGGGCAGCTTTTCTGTGTCAGAGCTAGCAGCTCTTGGTGTCAACAGCTCTTCTCAATCCATCTGTTAAACAACAAATGTGGCCTTCCTCCCACTCAGTTCATGCCTCTGTCTGCACCAGCATCTTCTGCAGCCCTGCTGCAGCCAGACTCCAAGTTCAGCCAAGTGGACAAGGTCCAGGAACAAACAGGATCTGTCAAGTATTTAGAGCTGGACACAGGTGCCTGGAGAAGGCCCCAAGGCAGGAAGAGCCTTGGCTGAGGCAGCTGGACAGCCCCACTCACTAGAGGGAGACCTCCCAGCCCTACCACCCTGGGGCCAGCACAGAGCAGGAGTGGGGGTGACTTCACTCTGCCCCCCAAGAGCTGCCCTCACTCCCCAGCACCTACAAAGCTGAGGACCCAGAGGGACAGGCTTTGAGGGCACTGTCAGACTCATCCTGCACACAGGATGCCCTGGGGATCTCATTCCCTCGGTTTAACTGTGTCCCTGTTCCATGGCAGGATTCCATGTCACTGTTCCTGTCCTTATGCTCTGGTGGGGCTGCACAGGGAGCTCAGACACAGCATAACTGTGAGGAGCTAGGTGGCCCAGGAACAGCTCACAGGTGGTGTCCAGCCCATTACAAACTGGTTTCCAGATACCCTCCCAGCAGGAAATCTCCACTGCAAGCTCTCGGGAGGACAAGGAAGATCTTGGGCTCTGCCACAGCTCAGTGCCAGGACTACACAGCCTGTGCTGTGCACAAGAGAGAACAAAATACTCCCCTAAGCCATCCTTCCTGAGCCCCAGATCCACAAATCCTTCCCTGCCTCCCTCTCCCCCTTCTCTTCCTGTGGCTGCCCCAGTGCTGCTGCTTCACATCAGTGACCATGGAGGGACAGTCTGGTGTCAGGCTGGGTCAGGGCCATGCAGCCCCAGAGAAGCAGAGCAGATCTGGAGGAGCTTCCCACTCCCAGCAGCCACAGCCCAGGAACCAGAGCCTGAGGGATTGTGCGTTTAACAGCATTTGGAGAATCTTCCTTCCATGGACTCACTCATCATGTGTGAAACTGGGTGGGCTTGTGCCAGCCCCAGCACACCAAGGGAGAGAGAATTGTCCCATCCTTCATTCCTTGTCTTGGAATGAACTCCAAAATGAGAATTTGCTCCCTTATCCTATAGCAGCCCAATTCTTTAAAAGCCTTTGGTGAAAAGCCTTCTAGAAATGCAGGTAAACTGTCAAGCCCATCACCTTGTGACCAGCAGCAAGGAAAAATGCATTCTCCTGTTCTAGGCAGGAATGAGAACACCCAGGAATGGGCCAAGAGCCCATGTTTTACTTCAGCAAATCAGCCTGAGCTACTTAGGATTTAAGATGCTGCAGCAAACAGAGAAACAGTACCAACTACTTACTAGAGCAAAGAGAGAAAAAGAAACAGCTCCCCTTGGTGGGAGCTGAACCACAGAGTTCCACACACAGCCCAGCTCCCAGGATCCCCCAGGCAGAAGAGGAATCCCACAGAGGATCTGCAGGCAGCCCCAGCAGCTGCCATGAAATGGATGGAAATGTCCTGTGTCCCAGCAGGAAGATGAACTTCCCTTGGGATTGCTCCTCACTCGTAGATCCAGCGTGCAGCTGTGTCCTCCCAGCACGGCAGCTCCTCCGGGCGGAACCAGAGCGAGATCTCCTGCTGGGCACTCTCCACCGAGTCACTGCCGTGGATCACGTTCCTGTGGGCAAGGACAAAGGGAGCAGCTCTAACCAAGCTCAGAAAGGGAAACGAGGGATGCAGGACTTCAGGTGGTTTTTTAAAATGCTGTTTATTGTTTCTAAATGATCCAGCAATTCACGGGTCGTGGGTGACAAGAGCCCAGCTCACAGCCTTTTCAGCCACAGCTGTGGGTTGGTCTGAAGCCACTCTAGTTCTGGTTACAATGCATTATTTACTTTTCATTGCAGAGAATCTTAAAACATGGCAACAGATCAATACTTTTACTATTACCTATAGCCTGTCATAACTACTAACATTACCATGTTCATGTTACTATTTTTCAATCACAGAAAGTTAGTATGTTACAGTTTAAGCTAAAAGTTGTTTTTCAGTTTTCTTACAGTAGAAAATTTTGAAGTTTTTCTTTCTGCTTGCAACATGGCATTTTTGTTTGCCTGTAAAAATCTTTTTGCTTAGTAAAAACGTACTTTGTTTGAAGTGAATTTATCTTTTGCTCTGAGTCATAAAAACCCCTTCCAACTCATTTTACTCTTTAGCTTCTTAGTTATCTAGTAAAACTGACTCACCAATTCTTTTCTTCTATATCAAAACTTGCTATCATTTCTATTCCTTCTTCAAATTCTACATTCAAAAATCTTTCTATTATACATATATAGCTGTAAGACCTTCCTGTCAAATCCTTATCCTTCCCAACAATGGCAGAGGGATGCTGCAGCCTGGAAAATGCCCCCTTGACCAATTTCATTAAAGCAATGGAGCCAGTCCTATCCCACAATATCCCTTCCTATCACACACCCCTCATCCTATCCTTCCAGCAGTTCCCAGCACTCCCTCCTCCTATGCTGAGGAACCATTTGTTTGCTACAGGAGGAGCTGCAAGTGGCTGTAGCTCTGGGATTTGCATTTTTTATGTCAGTGATTCCAGCTGTACCTCCAGATATTCCCCCTTCCATCAAAGCAGGTTTGGTATCAGACAACAGGAAACAGATCTAAGCCAGGATGGTTCAGTAAGAGCTGTGTCTACCACAAGCCAGGCTGGGGCCACCCAAGGTCACCACCCATGGATATTCACCTGCTCCCACGAAAGGACAGAGTGGGAGCCTCCCTTCCTCTTGACAGCCTGACAGTCCCAATTGCCAGAGGAAAACAGGCAAACCCCACCTGCTTTCAACAGAGGACTCAGAAGGAAGGAAAGACACAACCCAGGCTCTTCCTCCTACTAAAGCCAGCCCTGGGAAGCAGAGCTCAGCTCTGGTCTGAGCACAAAAGGGAGAACTTCTGCTCTGGGAATGCAGACTCATGTGGCTCAGGCAGGCCTGGCACAGGAATGCCTGGACAGGATGCCCTGAAGCACTGAGGGAAGAAGAAGTCAAAGCTCTCACTTGCCAACTTCAACACAGAAGTCTCCTCGGATGGTGCCAGGCCTGGATTCAGCTGGATTGGTCTCCCCAATCATGGTACGAACTGTCTTCACCACATCCAGGCCCTGCCAGACCTGCATGAGAGCAAAGCCAGCATCAGTTTCCACAACTGCTCCAGCAGGTCACATCTGCCCTCTGAATTCCCCACCGGATCCACCCAGGTGAGAGACAGGAAAAGGTCTCTCCAAATTATTCTTCCAATGTTGATTTTGGAAAATAATCCAAATTATCTGTGGATTTCTCCCCATCTCTGGAAGCGCTCAAGGCCAGGCTGCATGGGGTTTGGAGCAGCCTGGGATAGTGGAAGGTGTCTCTGCCTATGGCAGGGAGTGGACAAGCCTTTAAGGTCCCTTCAAACCCAAACCATTCTATGATTGAATTTACAACAGAAAACATCCCTGCGGTTCAGTACAGCTTCAAGAGACCCTCTGAAGGGACATACCACCTTACTTCCACTGTGCCAACAGCCACTGCTGCTGACACCTTGCACTTTGTCCCTGTCCCTTGGTGCAGGGGCCCTGGCCAGCACTCACCATGGCCACGATGGGCCCGGAGCTCATGTACTTCACCAGGCGGCTGTAGAAGGGGCGGTCCCGGAGGGAGATGTAGTGTTCCTTCAGCAGCTCCTCCGAGGCCTGCACAGAGCACACAGCTTAGTCTACTCCCACATGGGGGGATCTGAGCAAGGGCTGCAGGAAATTAAGATAATTAAGCTCTTGCACAGATGCTCAGTTCCAGGAGTGAAACAGCAGGAGCCTGACACAGACAGGAATTTCCAGCTGCCAGCTTACAGTGACAGCCCTGGAGTATGGGCACAGTCAAGGGCAGAAATGCTCCCCATAGTTAGAATCACCCCTCCCAGTGCCAACTCTCCTCTGAGCTGTGAGGATTTGGTGCTGAAATCACACCAGCAGTCTGTACAGGCCGGATGACAGGCAGCATTCCCAGCAGTTACCGGCACAGCCAGGGCTTGGGGGGCTGCAGGGGCTCCTCGGCTCCAGGGACCCCCAGCCTGGGTGGGCCCGGCCGCTCACCTGCAGCAGCTTCATCCCCACCAGCTGCAGCCCCTTCCTCTCGAAGCGCCGGATGATCTCCCCGACTAGGCGCCGCTGGACCCCGTCCGGTTTGATGGCCACGAAGGTCCGTTCATTGACCCCGCTGAAGGCTGCAGGGAGAGGACAGAGGTCTGAGGGGGGGATGAGACTCCTGTGGGCCTCCAGCCAAGCGGGCACAGGGGGGTCGCAGGCCCTCAGCCGTGGGGACATAGGGGGGTTCCCAGGTTCCCGCAGAGAGGGGCAGGGCGGTCCTGCCGGCGGCCGTCGGGCGCAGAGGGCACAGGGACAAGGGAACCCAGGCCCGGGCCTGCAGCCGCGGGGTCTCTCCCGAGGAAGGGAACGTCCCTGGCTCTCAGGCGTAAAGAGAGTGGGGGTCCCTGGTCCTCACACCCAGAACCGAGGATCCCGTCCCGTTCCGTACCACTGTGGAAGAGGCCGGCGAAGAGACCCAGCACCAGGCAGATCATGGCGGCGCCGCTCTTAAAGGGGACGCGCTGTCCCCGCGCTGTCACCGCCCTCAGCGGAACCATCGTGCCGGGGGGGCGGAGCGGCGGGGCCGAAACACGGTGCACCGGGAACGGCCCGTTCCCATGGCGACGGCGGGCCCGGAGCCCGCCGGGCCCGGGGGGACACCAGGCTCCTCCCGTGCGAGGTGGCCCAGCCGCGGCCTCCTTGCTGCCGCCTCTGAGCTCCCCTGTGCCACAGTGTCCCTCGTGTTTATGACACTGTTTTGCCTTCGTTATCTCCGCCATTGCGGTCGTGACTGCACACCACTCGTGGTTACGCTAGCCCGGTTATGGGGCAGCTGTTGTGGTACTGACCAGCTCCTCTAGCTCGGGCAGGCCCACGCTGGGACCTCAGGAAGAGGAGCTCTGAGCTCCCCCGGGCCGTGCTGCAAGAGCCCTGCAGGGCTGGGGAGCTCCTCTGTACAGAGCACATGTTGCTGATTTAATTTTGGGGTGTAAAACCCCGGCTGTTAACGTGCTTTCAGCCTCAGTTAGGAAGGGATAGGTAGAACTCCAGGGCTCCATTTCCTGCTCTCAGGAACTCACCTCTCCGCTCAGTTTCCTCCAAGTTCAGCCTCTGGGAATACCAGCACATGAAATACCTTCTCCAGGTGCCCTGTGGAGGGCTGGATTTGCTCCCAGAGCTGTTCAGGTGCCTCACGGAATGCTGGGTCTGCTTCCATCCTGCTTCTCTTGTTCAGAGACGGTGTCCTGCTCCCTCTCCTCTGTTCACGTCTTGGCTGGGACAAGCAGGGATCCGTCTCCCAACAGCAAGGATCCAGCTGCTTTATCCAACATAGTTTTGAGTAAATTATTCCCGCGTTTGTGCCAATACATAATTAGTGGTTGTATCCTGGAGGTCCAGAGCCTGGGGGAAGTTGACCAAGTTTGCTCCATCACAGCCGTGCTGTGGTGGTTATTATTCTGCCCGCGGAAAAGCCTTTGTAGGATAAACACCGTCCGTCGTGGAGCGGTGGGCACGGCCCGGGGGCTGAGGGCGAGGCTTTCCCCGCCGTTCCCGGAGCTCTGGTGCCGGCAGAGGGAGCGCAGGCAGCGCGGAGGAGCTGCCAGCCCCCGGCAGCCCCGTCCCGTCCCGGGCAGCCCCGCTGAGGGACTCCCCTAAAACAAAGCTGGAATTTTAAGGTGCACGAGCAGCGTGTTGTCAGCCCTCCCTTGTGTTCTTAGGGACAGCCGGGCTGTTTTGTCGGAAGATCTCAAACAAATCCCGTCTGGAGCAGGTGTCTGTGAAAGGAAACAGCCCTCACACGGTTTGGAAAGGTGCAGAGCAGAGAGCTCTGAGGAAGGTGTCTAATAGATGGTGTCAGCTCTCATTAGCTCCTCACAGAGCCGCTAATTAAGAGCACATTCTCCATGTGCTGCCGGTGACATCTGTGTGTGTCCAGCCTGGAGTGCAGCAGTGGGAGTGAGGCTGGAGGGAGCGTGGCAGGTGTTGAAACCCAGCCTCCTAATCCAGTCTGATGGAACCTCAGTCTTCTTTCATAGAGGGCTAGTTCAAAAATGATGATGTTTCTGTCAATTTAATAAGATTTATTCTAGGACACTTTTCAAGGCGCCTGCAGAGGTGTCAGTGATGAAGTCAATAGCTCAGACCCCAGCCCAGCCAGCACCTGTCTGTGCTGCAGCAGCCAGACTTCCATACAGGCAGAATCCCTCATTTCACACTCATTTTATTTTTGTTGTTTATTAATGCTGATGAAACACCTCAATTTCTCATGCCAGGTTTGTTCTGTTATTCTCCACAGGTCTCCTCAAAGATCCCAGTGCAGGTATTTGGGTGAAGGTTTTAATTTCCTTGGACTGTAAACGTTGTTTTGAGCCTCAGGCAGTTCCCTGCAGCAGAACTTGGAGGAGAAACATGTCAGACACTCTCCACTTGGGTGAGTCCTCATCTTCTCTGGCAATTATGTGCTGTGGGGAGAAAGCTTTGACTTTCCTCTCTAGGAGCCCCAGAAATGCAGATTACTGGTGACCAGGTAGCTTGGGAAACAGAGCTGGGCCTGATTCCCAGGCAAATTATTCTTGAGCCAATGTCTTTTAGACACAGTTTTAGGCAGATGTGTATCTAGGGCGAGCACAGGAAGCTCCAGTAAGCAAGAATGAGACCACAAATCCTTCCTACAGAGCTTTCACTTGGGTGCTCAACATTCCCAGCCCAGATGTGTGCACAGAATGGTGTCACAGGTAACAGCTACACATCTGGAAGGGGCTGAACAAATTTTCTGCCTCATTTGGAAAGCCCAGTGATCACTTTTTGACCCCCTCACTGGGAACCTGAAAGGCCAGGTACCTGCTAGCACCAAATACCTTCTCATTTCAGTGGGAAGTTCAGTGTGGAAGGATCCCAGTGTGGCAGGGGAGGCTGGGGAGGGGCTGTTCCCGTGCTCACCCCCACTGCAGGAATTTCAGGCGGAGGCAGAACTCTATTTTTGCTCCTGCTGGATGAAACATTGCAGATCCTGTGGTTATGTAAGAGACTCCAGAGCATGTAGGTGCAGATAACGTGGCCATCCAACACTGTGCAGTGCAGACAAAGGCTTTTTGTCTCCTTTCATCACACTTAGAAACTTCTGCAGTTGGCACTGCCTTCCTTCTCGGGCTCTTTTTCCACCTTTTTGCTTGTTTAGTGAGGATTTTCATCTTTCAGTGTAGCAGTGTAGCATTGGCACAGCCTGGAGTGTTGGTGCCTCTCACAGTGTGAGCTCTGCACAGGTGCAGACCTGTCTACTTTCATACTGGACCCACTGATCCTGCTGGAAATATTTCATCTTTTAGGATAAAGAGGGGTTGGTAGAGCCAGAAGATTTCCTTTTGCTGGATTCAGGGGATACAGATGTCAGAGCCAGAGCTACACAAAGTGCTCCACAGCAAGGTCACTTTCCAAGGAAACGTGGAACAAACAAGAGGATCAATTCCAAACTGCCACTGCTCCACCCTGGAACAAAGCTCTGATACAGAGAGTGGTGGTCTGAAAACTGGGAGTAGCTGTGTGAGTACAGCAGCAGGTCTCCAGGGATACACCTTTAACCCTAGGACAGGTGCTGCTTCCTCAGAGGAAATGGCTCAGGCCAGACTTGCCTTTCCTTGCATTTGGTTTTTCCATTCTCGTGGAATCCATAAAAGATTTCCTTGAAAGAAACACTCAGGGTACACAGCCCAGGGAAACACTTGCACTTTGAAGCAGAGGTTTGTGTTAGTTCTCACTTCTGTGCAGTGCTACAGCATTTTATTTATACCTGTGTGGGCAGCCTGTGCTTCTTCCCTGAGAAATTCCCAGTCCATCCAGTCCCATCCAAGACTAGAGAAGGACAGGCTGGAATAGGCAGTGCCAGTGAGGAGATGGGTGCTGGTGCTTTGGGGGTGAGCCAGGAGGGCAGCAGGACGTTGGCTGCTGTTCAGTGCCCTGAGAGATGTTCACAGCCTGGAGCCCTTGTCGTGTGCTCTGAGTGTGTCACTTGTGTGCTGCTCCCAGTCCTGGCTCCTTCCTGTCCTTGTAGGTGCACAGCACAGGAGTCTCCTCTGTGCTGATGGTGAGATCACACCTAAAACTCCTGCACAGATGCAGCTGCAGTAGCTTGGTCTGTCTGGAGTATCTCATAGAATCCCAGCATGGTTTGGGTTGCAAGAGACCTCAAAGCTCATCTCATTCCACCTCCTGCCATGGGCAGGAACACCTCCCACTGTCCCAGGCTGCTCCAAGCCCTGTCCAATCTGGCCTTGGACACTGCCAGGGATCCAGGAGCAGCCACAGCTTCTCTGGGCGCCCTGTGCCAGGGCCTGCCCACCCTCCCAGGGAACAATTCCTTCCCAATATCCCATCCATCCCTGCCCTGTGGCAGTGGGAAGCCATTCCTTGTGTCCTGTCCCTCCATCCCTTGCCCCCAGTCCCTCTGCAGCTCTCCTGGAGCCCCTTTAGGCCCTGGAAGGGGCTCTGAGGTGTCCCTGGAGCCTTCTCTTCTCCAGGTGAGCACCCCCAGCTCTCATAGCCTGGCTCCAGAGCAGAGGGGCTCCAGCCCTTGGAGCATCAGGGATAATTTCTCAGGGACAGCCCCTGTCTCACTCCCTCCTCAACTCCTTCTCACTTGAGCCTGCAAAGATAAATTTTTTTGTATAAAAACCCAGCTGTGGCCTATGGAGTTCTGCCAGCAGAGGCAGCCATGGGTCTTACCATGGTTTGGGGTTTCCTTTCACTCACAGGGGAGCTGCTGCCACACCTTTATCTTCAGCCCTGAGGCAGATGTGAGGCTAAGCCTGACCTTTCCCTCTTTACAGACAGCAGCCCTGGGGTGTGACTGTGTGGGGCTCCTGCATGATTCCTGTGCCCAGAGCAGGGCAGGCAGCAGCCCCTGAGCCTGGCAATGCGGAGCCACAGCTCCCAGGAAGCTTCCTTTGCCTCCTGAGGAGATACTGAAGGTAAAACTTTTAGTCCTTGAAGTTTTTTGTCATTTGGATTGAGCTGATGGCAAAGTCCCACGTGTGTGAGTGTTGTGAAGGAATGCTTTGCCACCGAGGTGGTGGCTGGCTTGGATCAGGTTGCATCCACTTGCTTACACCTTCACCCTGGCTGGCAGTGGGATCGAGGAGGGACTGCAAACTTTGAGGAGCTGTTTGATCCCCTTGTTCTTAGGACCCTTGTTCAGAGGGGTCTGAACGCAGCCTCGCCTCTCCAAATCCACCACAGCTGCTCAGCTGTGAAAAGGGCTGCTGGTTCTCCCTCAGTTCCCTGTCTTGCAGAGCCTGTCCCCCCAGCAGTGCTCCTTTAGATGCCACAGCAGTCACAAACTAGGTCAAACACCATCTAAACCCTGACTTGATATCCCTTAAACTAAATTCCTGCCCTGCCTGAATGTGCCCCGAAGGGGGTTAGGACTCATGGCTTAGAGAGAGCTAAGAAAGATGAGCAGCTTTGCTGTAGCTGAGTAAATAGCTCTGGGCAGCCCGGCTCCCTCCTCCTGTCCTCCTGGCTCCCTCCCCCTGCCCTTCTGGCTCCCTCCCCCTGCCCTCCCTGCCCTCCCGGCTCCCTCCCCTGCCCTCCCGGCTCTCTGCCCTGCCAGCCCGGCCTCATCCTGCCCAGGAAAGTGTCCAACCCGTGTGCTTTCAGAGAATCATTAAGGCTGGAAAAGACCTCCAGGATCAAGTCCAACCTTTGACCAAACACCACCGTGCCCGCTAAGCCATATCGGGAGTACCACACCCACTATTTTTTTGGCCACTCGCAGGGATGGTGACTCCAGCTCTGCCCTGCTCAGGTGACTTTGGTGACACCAGCGCTAGAAGGGATGAGGAGGGTGAGAACCTCGGGTTATCCTAGCTCACTTAAGCTTTGGTGTGTGTGTGTTGCATGTTTCACCTCTGTCACTTCTCCTCTGGGTGCTGCAGCAGTGGGGTAACACCACAGTGCTGTCCCCAGACGTGGGGTAGGAATTTGGCCAGCACCTCTCTGACAAAGGCAACAACAAAACCTGGACAACTGAGTCCCTCACTTTCTCACACTCCAAGCCCAGAGCTTTGGGAAACCTCAGTGAAAGTTACAGAAATGTTTGTCTGTGGCTGCCAGCCTGTCCTTGATGCTGTCAGTGGAAGGCCCACATTATTTGTGTGTCTCAAGATCCTTTTGAGTCTCTGCAGATGAAAATCTGTTCCCGTGGTGAATGCAGTGGTGACTCAGCACTAGGGAAGGAAGGAATATGACCTTAGGAAAATCTTTTCACCTCCATGCTCTGGAGATGTCCAGGAAGGGAAAGAAGATTCAGTGGAAAAAAAAAATTAGCCCTTAGCAGAAAGAGGTTTCAGAAGAAGCCCAGAGCTTAATGCCAGAGGAGGGCTGCAAAGCCTGGGGTTTGGGCACACACCAGCCTCAGGCCTTGCTCCCAGCTCTTTCTGCAGGACACAGGTGGAGCTGCAGGAGTTTCCTTCCTGCCCTTCCAGGGT